CCAACAGTGCAAGAGGGTTCCCGTTTCTCCACATCTTTGCCAGCATCTATAATATCCTCATTTGTTCATTTTAGCCACTCTGACCAGTGTGAGGTGGTATCTGAGTGTCTTTGATTTGTATTTCCCTGATGATGAGTGATGTTGAGCATCATTTCATGTGTCTGTTGGCCATCTGGTTGTCTTTGGCAAAGTGTCCATGTCTTCTGCCCATTTCTTCACTGGATTATTTGTTGTTCAGGTGCGGAGTTTGGTTAGTTCTTTATAAATTTTGGATACTAGCCCTTTATCCAATAAGGATACAGAAGATTTGAACTACACCATTAACCAGCTTGGCCTAATTGATACTCTCTTCCCAGCAAAAGTAAAATGCACATTCTTTTCAAATGCACATGGTTGGAGGGGCACCTGGCTGGCTCTGTCTGACTCTTGATTTCAGCATTGGGAGTTCAAGCCCCATGTTGGGTATAGAGATCACTAAAGAAGAAAATAAACTTTAAAAAAATAAATAAAATACACATGGGTATTTACCAAATATATGGAACATATTCTGATGTGTTCTGGAACGTAAAATAAGTCCTGATAAATTTGGAAATAATCAAGTCATATAAAGTACTTTCTGACCATAATAGAATCAAGTAAGTCATTAACAACAGAAAAGTCACTGAAAATCCCCAAATATTTGGGAACTAACATACTTCTAATTAAGTCATGGATTACAAGCAGTAAGCAAAAGCAGAATTAGAAAGTATTCTGAATTGGGGTGCCTGGGTGGCTCAGTCCATTGAGCTCTTGATTTCATCTCAGGTTATGATCTTACAGTTTGTGAGATTGAGTCCTGCATCAGGCTCTGTACTGACAGCATGGAGCCTGTTTGGGATTCTCTCTTTCCCTCTCTCCCCACCCCTTGCAAATAAATAAGTTAATAGATAAATACATTAAGAGAAGTATTCTAAATAAACAAAAATGAATAACAAACTTATCAAAATCATCAGAATACATGTACAACAGGTATTTTGGCATTATATACTGATATTAAAAAAGAAAAAAATTTAGATCAATGGCCTAAATTTCTGTCTTTAAGAAAATAGGAAAACAAAAGCAAATGAAATCTAAAGCAAACAGAAAAAGGAACTAATAAAGATCAAATTGAAGTCAATGAAATAGAAAACAGAAAAACATCAGAGAAGATTAATTAAACCAAAAGTTTGTTCTTTGATAAAATCAATGCAGTTACTATATCTGTATCCAGACTGATCAAGAAATAAGATACAAACTACAAATACTGGGAATGAAAGAGGTGACATTACTATAGATTCTGCAGATATGAAGATGATAATAAGGGAATGAGGTTAAGAACTTTTTGGATGTGATGGATGTGTTTGTTATCTTGATTATGATGATGATTTTATAGGTATATATACCTATATCAAGACTTACAAAATTGTGTACTTTAAATATGTTAATTTTACTTCAGTAAAGGTATTAAAAATTTAACTAGCCACATGTGAACAGCAGCTACAGATTTGGACAATGGAGCAGTCATTATCTGTAAGCTTCTTGAGGGTCTAAATTGTATTTAAATATTCTCTGTATAGAGCAGCTCTAGAGTGACTCATTTGACCAATATTTGTTTAATGAAGGAAATGCAAAATACAGCTATTGGGGTAAGCATGGATGTATCACTTAACTTCTCAGGACATTAGTTTCCTGATATGAAAAAAAAAAAAAATAGAGGTTTATCTAAGTTCCTTTTGTCTTCAAATTCTGAATTTTGAAGAACAGAAAATATTCTTCCTTATTTAACTGCAGATTGTCATTTATTTGGAAAAGCATTTTTTTGAAGACACCATGTTTAATAAATTAGCACAATTAATTTAAAAAACTTTGAAAACACTACATCACTAAAAATTAAATCTTTTCTTTAGCACCTTTAATTAACACAGTACTGAATACCTTTCATAATAAAAATCAGAATCTTTCCAGTGGTTCTGTTGATACAGTCCCCTTGCTTACTCCTCATCTCCTCACTCTCTCTACTAAGTCTTGGCTTCCTTGACCACTTTGTATAAAACCACGACCCCTATTCTCCTGCACTTTATTTCCTTATCCTGCTTTGTTTTTCTCCCAAACTGCTATCACTATTTAACATAGTATTTTCTTTTAATATCTTCTTTCACCTGACTAAAAGATAACTTTCATTAGGGTAAGGACTTTGCCCATTTTGTGTACTGTTGTAGGTTCTAGAACAGTTTCTGGAACATAGTAGGCATTCAGTAAATATCTGTTAAATGAATTGACCTATTGTACATTAATATCCTTTAGGTCCCCCCCCCCCCACCGCCGCTTGTATCGATTTTTATCTCTTGAATCTCTACTGTATAAAAAAGTGAACTCCAATTCTCACTTTATAGACAAGAGATCTATGTCTTAGGGGAAATTATATAAGGCATTGAAAGTCACATACAACTAGACTCAAACCCAGATCTGCTGTATTCCAGAGCTTGAGATCTTTAACATTGTACTTTTTCCCATTTTCAGGTGTATTATTTGCAAAGATAAATGTTAGTTTAACATGAGCATCGATAGGTTTAGAACATTAGGATAGAGCATAGCAACATTTTAAGAGAAAGTGACTAAGGAAATTTTCCTTAGAGAAAGGTGGAGGGTATGGAAAAGATTTGTGGGACACTTCTAGAGAGGTTTGTGAGTAGGTTTGCAAGGGGGAAAAATGACTAGCTCAGGGAAAGAATGAAACCTTGAACATCTGGGAACTAAGGCTTTGCCCAAAGGGTATAGAATGGTAGGGAACTAAAAATTGAGTTTCATGATCTGGGTCATTGGCTGGCAAATTACAGCCAGTACACAAACTCACTTGAACTTTAATTTTTAATTGGTTTTGGTTAATCAGTAATTGAAAGTTATTCCATACACTTTATGTTATGTTTACAAAAACAGTGATATACACCTTACGTATCATCGATAGGGTATTTTTTAAGGCAACGGAAAAGAGAAAGAGGAAAGGAAGGAGAGAGGACAGAAGATTTTGTGTGTGTTTATTAGAAAGAGATTTTATATATTTTATATAGAGAAGGAGATGTTATGTGTTTTCTATATAATAATAGAAATATTTGTTTTGTAGTAAATGATACCTATTTTCTTTTGGGTCTTGGGTTTATAGATCTCTAAGCCATTCAGATTATGTTTATAATGCTTAACTTAAGCCAAGGTGGCAAACCTGTCAAGCTTAACTGTAATAGCAAAACTACTATGCTTTTCTTAGTTGACTAGAAATTGTGTTGGAAGTACCAAAACACTATTTTGCCCTATATTCATTTTTGTTGTACTTTGTGGTAAGCCCTTTACAGTTAAAGATTGCTCGTTTGTCATTTATCTGTGATGTGAGGCCATTGACAATCATGTTTTAGTTTATATTGTTAACACAAGAACACATTTTTACAACTTGTTTTTCAGTGATTTAAAACACCTTACGGAGATCCACTTTGTTGGCATAACTAAGCTTTTGGTCAGCACTTGGATTCTGGATTCTTTCCACATACACCTTATTATGTTGTGTTTGAGAGGAGCTCTTTAAATTTAGATTTATTGTGTTCGGATGCCTGCTTTTAGAGGAATTTTGTTTTACAGCTAGTCTGTATCCCACAAAGGATGATTATAATTTTAGGAGTTTTTCTTATTGATTAGAATTGGCTGACCACTGAAACATTTTTTACATTTGAATACAAATCTGGTCATCTTGGTATAATAGTTAATAAGTTTTAAGATTTATTTGCTGACTTCATTATATAAATGAACAAATGTCTTTGTTCTTAAGTTACTTATGCTTCTTCAGGCATTCTTACAGATAATTAAAAAAATTCATCGTTCCTCTTGAACCATGTTACCTTTCTGCCCAGTCTATATACACATATACATGTTGTAATATATATACATATTGTATAATGTGTATAATTTCATTTGTGTTTGTGTGTGTGAACAGACTCATTATTGCCTTAACATGGTTTGTTTGAAAGACAGGGAATGTGGTACATGCATGACTAGTTGTGCACATCTTTAAATTGTTTCAGGCACAAGATTTAATAGTGAGAATTTTGCCTTCATAACATACAAATGATGCAATGGCATGGATAGAGCTAGAGAACATTATGGTAAGCGAAATAAGTCAGTCAGAGAAAGACAAATACCATATAATTTTACTCACATGTGGAATTTAAGAAACAAAACAAAAGAAAAACAACCAAAACAAACGAGTAAAGGAAAACAAGAGAGAGAGGGAGGCAAATCAAGAAACAGACTCTTAACTAGAGAGAACAAACTGATGGTTACCAGAGGGGAGGTTGATGGGGGGGATGGGTTAAATAGGTGATGGGGATTAAGGAGGGCACTTGTAAGGAGCGATGGGTGTTGTACGGAAGTGTTGAATTGATTGCTATATTGTACACCTGAAACTAATATAACACTGTATGCTAACTATGCTGGAATTAAAATTTGAAAAGAAAGACACACAAATGATGTCAGTGGTCTTTTACAAGTAATGTATTTTCTCCTTGTTGTAGGTCCTTTTGTTCTGCATCACAGCTGCCATGTACATGTTCTTTTTCAGGTATGTACTGTTATACCTATTTATTTTAATGGAAAAAAATAGTGGTCCTTTGTGGTTTTTTGAATCAGCCATATAACTAAAGTTGTTCCCTAAATAATCGTTTCTCACAAGTGGCATGAGTTGTATTTTTTTTTCTTTCCTCTAGAATAGTTAGAGATAAATCACTGCTTCTTAGTGAATACAGGGAGGGAAAGAAGATTTGTTTTTTTTTTGTTTTTTTTGACTTTCTACTTACAGGTTCATCTTGGGAAGCTGAATATGTAAATTAATAGTCTCAAATTCTGACAAGTGAATTTTTGTTTTTTCTGGACCTAATTTTAGATATTCTTCACTCTCCTTTTAAAACAGTCAGCATTTTAGATTTAGATGAGAGAAAAGTGATGGTAGAGCTTAATCTAAATTTTCTGTGGGGATAAACTAGCATATTCGTCATAGTCTTTAAAGTATTGCGTTAGTCCGTAATGTCGGAGTTATATTTCTCATTGACACTGAAACTGTGAGGCCTGTGGAGGAGTGTTAGGATGGCTCATGATTTCAAGGCCAATAAAAAGGATACCATCGCTGTATAGCCATAGCAGTACAGGGATGGGATTTTTCACTGGGAAGAGTCCACTCCTTCATAACCTTTCTGTCAGTGATACCAGTAATTTCCATTTATCTCACTCTTATTACGCTAATTTGAAGACACTTTCTCATGATTTTTCTGGATATAGGCAGAATTCAATCACAGCAGGAAGGACCAAACTTTTAAAATTAAAATTTGTATTTGATTAACAAAGGCAGTTACATGTTTTAATAAGATGTATTTTGTAGATACCTTTAAATAAGACAATTTAACCATACCAGAATTTTAAAACAATTTTCTTCCAGAACACCCTAATAAATATTTGATAAGCACAATGATATGATTTTAACTTATTTTCACTTTATCAGCTATTTTACATGCATTATAAAGTGATACTGCTGCTGTTACTCTTGTAAAGGGACAGCCAGGCCCATAGAAGGGAAAAAAATGGATCAAATTTCAGGCTAGGGTGGCTTGATTTGCAAAGGATTGGTAATGAGTGCATAGTATTTTTTGTTGGTTATTAGTGACTGAAAAATCATTGCAGCTCTCTAGAGGTCTTTGTGAAATTGTTTGAACTGTTAGGGGCGAGGTAGAGGTGTTAAGGACAAAGACTGTATCATTGCATCAATTTTCCAAAACTTCATATTGTATTCAGATTATTAGTAGGACAATATTGCAAAAAGTTCACATGGTTGATCTTTATGTTCATCTAGTCTGAAGATAAAGCATACTTAGTGGGGAAAATATAAAAAAGCTGAAAACGTAGAAACCTTTCTTTTGTTGACATCCACAGAAGGAAAGTACAATATCAAGTAAATTTTCCTTTTGTGATAATTCCTAAAAGAACATAGTTAAATGCAACAATCCTTCCCAATATGACACCTAAGGATAGCATATTTGATCATCATTTATCATTTCTTAGTCATTAGTTTTGAGATTTAAAAACAAGTTGTGTGTTGAATATAGTGATAATGCCCAAACTTTAGCATGGTCCTAGGAAATTGTGCTTGAAAATTGCTGCCATCAACGTAGTATTTTTGGTGTAGAAAGAAAATCAGCCCTATAAATATGTATTTTGGTGTAGAGCTATGAAACCTTTTCCTGTTTCAGTCACAAAGTCTAGGTTAAAAACAACAATTTAAAATACTTTCCAGAAGGCTCAATACAAGGTTTTAGTGCCAAGATAAACATTTTCCGTTTTCTGAGGAAAGGGGTTGTTTTCTCCTAAAAGAAGCACTATCACCAAATTCCTAGTGTTCTTGGCAGAAGTTAGTTTGAATAACTCAACAAAAGAGGTTTGGCAAATGGCAAAAAAAAAAAAAAAAACATTTATAAAGTACTACACTCAAACAAAACACTGCTACATGTTTGGCTGAATTCCGGCATGTGTTTGCAATGAACAAACAATATTGTACATAGGAGTTAGTGAGTCTAATTGCATTAGATTATTCTATTCTTAAAATTCAGGTGTATGGTACGGATATTTGAGGTCACATTTTTCCATTTATTAAAATTTTAATTTTGTGTAAAATTAGATAAATATCAAATGATATTGTTCCTCGGCCCCCATTCAAAGTAACTTCCTTTGGAAAAGAGAGGATAAGGGAAACATTTTATTAGAAATTAATCAACTTGTCTTTTTATCCTAGCCTCTAAATGGGAAAAAGGGAAATAGAAATAGATTTTTTTCTCAATAGAGAGAAAAATGTGCCAGTTTTATTTATTTAGAGAAGGAACTTGAGGAGTAGTTCTATAAGTATTTTTCTAAAAATGACATATAGGATGTGATGGTTATTGTATGAATTTACTTAAAAAACAAACCAGTGTTCTTAGTTTTGAAATTATGGCTATTTAAATGTGTAGTGAAAGTATCTTACTTTTGAATAGCTCTTTTGTTTTTTTTTAAGAGGTAGTTTTGGTTTTTTTTTTACACGCATTTTCTCATACATGGCGATCTTGATTTTCAGTCTGTGTACCAGAAATCAATTCTGTTAGGAACTGGGGTACAATATTTTGAAGATGTTTTGAAAGAAGTCTCTCTGTACAACCCTAGTGGGCATTCTTCATAATGATTCTGCCTCCTTCGTTCAATCGTCTTATTATTTTGCATGTTGTCATAACTTTGCCTCAGAAAAATGCCTATCACTATGAAGCAGAAGTCCTGGTTGAAAACTTGGTAGAATATTTTGTCTCATGTATACCTGTAAAGCACTTTTTTTTTTTTCAATTTACAAACCTGTATTTGTGAGTAAAGCAACTTGTTATTTTGTTAATTTTTTTTTTTTTAAGTCAAGGATTTATTATAGTTGTTGATTCAGGCTTGATTAGGATCTTTCCAATAGTCATGTGGAGAAAAGAAATGAGTTTCTTTTGAATTATTAGCTCTTATTTTTTGTTTTAACTGAAAAGCAAAGGGAAGAATCAACAACAACGCAAAAATCATGCCAAAACTATTACACTTAATCCTGCTCAAAAAAACAATGATGCATGCTACACTTTTAAACAATTTATTTGATTGGTTTTATTTTCAACACTAAATATCTGTGTATGAAGAACACATAGTTTAGAAACATAAAATGATTCAGCTTCACTTTTCTTTAAAGAATTTAATTTAAAATAGTATCATAAAGCATATTTTGACAGCTCTGATCACATCCTAGTGAGTACTTAGCTAGAAATTCTTTTCACCTGTCTTTGCGAAGCAACAAATCCAACAGTTTGTTTAAACGTGTAGATTGAAGGGCTCAGAAGTGTTGTCATAGCAGATAATCTACAGACTGTGTATGACTGATTCACAGTAGACATATCTTAATCTGCTATAAACATTGAAAAGCATTGCATTTTTATTTAGAAACCAACTCAGGGGTGTGTGGGTAGCTCAGTTGATTGAACATCTGACTCGGTTTTGGCTCAGGTCATGGTCTCATGGTTTTGTGAATTTGAGCCATCGGGCTCTGTGCTGGTAGTGCAGAGCCTGCTTGGAATTCTCTCTCTCCCCCTCTCTCCCTTCCCCTACCCTGCTTGCACTGTCTGTCTCTCTCAAAATAAATAAAATTAAAAACAAAAAAAGAAACCAGCACAAATTAAAGTTTATTGTTTTTGTGTTTGAAACGTTATTTAGAAACAGCATTGATGCCTGCCATTTGATGAATTCTAGTCAACTCTCTGTGAAGGTACAAATAATAAACCCTTTCATTAGTCTCAAGATATGGATGTATTTTGTTTTTAGGAAAATGGCATATTTTATTAGCTATCTGCAATTTTTGAGTGAAAGACATTTGTGATTGTTCCTGAAACTATCCTTATGTAAACGTAACCTATTATCTTTGAAGTAACTTTAACAGCGAGTAAAGAGCTTTTGATCTGGGTCTTTCAACCATTATTGATTTTAATAAAAGTCCTTTAAATATCAATTAGGTTCTATTTTTTAAAGTACTGCCCAAAGTACACAAAAATCTATTCTAGGAAATTATGTATTGCATTTGAACTTTACAGTTTGACTGTAGAGTTAGGAGAGTTTGCCCTAAATAATTACGTTTATATATATTAAAAACATTTTTTTAATGTGTATTTAATTTTGAGGTGGGGGGACAGAGAGAGAGGGGGACAGAAGATCTGAATTGGCTCTGCACTGACAGCAGAGAGCCCTATGCGGGGCTTGAACTCACAAACCGTGAGATCATGACCTGAGCTGAAACCAAAGTTGCACGCTTAACTGACTGAGCCATCCAGGCACCCCTAGATTTATATTTTGAAGAGATTTCTTCCAGCAAAGCAGAGAGTGAATTGGAGGCTTGGAGGGAGCATAATGACAGGTAATGGTAGGATACTCTTGCAGTTATTCTAGAAAGAAAGGGTGGGTCATGACTGAAGGTTATTGTGGTAATGACGTGGTGAAGAGTGGTTGTATCTAAGATATGAGGATTGATGCTTGGATGATGAAGAGTGAAACACTGGAAATTAGCAAATGAGAAACGTGTGGAAATTGAATACAGTTTTTTTTAAATTCTGAGATTGGAGTGTGTTTTAAGATATTTGCATAGAGAAATATAGATACCATTTGGGTATTTGGAGATCAGGAGATAAACAGAGGCTATTCTGGAATGTCACACCAACTGGTTGACTACAGACAAATTATACAACTTTTGTATACTTAGTTTTTTCTTTATTAAAAAGTGTAAATTATATGGACCTCACTGGTAGGGTTCTGGTGAATAAATTAGACACAGTGTCTTTCAGACTTTTTTGAATATGACCCAAAATAAGAGCTAAATTGTATGTTGTGAATACACACACACACGTAAGTTTTCCAGAATAATACTTAGCCTTACTGCATTGAATACACTTGGATCTTTTTTATTCTAATTTATTTTATTTATTTAAGAAGCTGCATTGAACCATTAATGGGTAACAATAGCAGTGAGAAAACTGC